TTTTTTTTTCTTTCTGTTTTGCGATTTCCGCTGCTTATTTCGTGGACTAGATTGAGTTCTCCTAAAAGGAGTGATGTGTTGATATCCAAATACTCTCTATTAATCACCATGGTTACATGCACCGCCTCATACATGAGCGAAATTCTATGCATCAATTAGGTTTAGTTTGTTTTGTCTTATCCAGTTGAGGAGATAGGCTTTGTTGTAGCCAAGTGGCACGCTTGCACACAGGATGTCCTGAATCAAATACCGCTTTAATATCGGCCTGAGCTGCCAAATCTCCCATCTCCTTCTTGGTCACTTTGTGTTGGAATAGAAAAAGGATGGAAATCCTGACTCGCACATTTGCTAATGCAATTCTGAATGAAATTTGGATGCATAGATAGATTGAAAAACAAGAGATTGATAAAGATTAGTTGTTGTTCTTCTCATATGCAGTGTTTTTTGCAGCATGGTGATTTCAGGTCAACAGTCGGTAACACAGAGATGGTTGAACGGGCAGATTTCTAACTTCCAGTATTTGATTCATCTTAACACGCTCGCGGGAAGGTGATATATCTTGTAATGATTTTTTATATTTCTTTCTCATCTTTGTGCCTTTGACTTACCAGTAAGCATACAAAGAAACTGTGTGAGCTACTTCTCTACCTGCTAGTCCGATGTTATCATTTCAGGTCTTACAATGATTTATCGCAGTATCCCATATTGCCGTGGGTACTCGCGGACTATTCGTCATCTACCTTAGATTTCACAAACCCTAAGACTTTTCGTGATCTATCGAAACCGATGGGAGCCCAACATCCACAGAGGCTGGAGCAGTTCTTGAAGAGGTGAGGATTGTAGCCCATGGTATCGAAAAGTTGTTTCTTGAACGTACCACTCTTACTAGTGGCTCAGGTATCGAGAATGGGATGATCCTACCGGAGAGACACCTCCGTATATGTACGGCACACATTACTCATCGGCTATGATTGTAGTTTCTTATCTTGTTCGGTTGGAACCGTTCACTCAACAATTCCTCAGTCTTCAGGTGGGACGATTCTCGAAATCGCTGCTTAGTTCTTCCTTTTTGTCATCTTTTCACACTCTCTTTTCATTATTTTCACTTTATGTATTTCAGAAAAGGATTTTTCTTTGTCTGTTAAAGGGTGGCCATTTCGATCTTGCTGACAGAATGTTTCACAGTATCGGTGATGCGTGGGCCAGTGCTAGTCGCAATAACATGGCTGATGTGAAAGAATTGATTCCAGAGTTCTTTGTGTTGCCAGAGTTACTGCTGGTGAGTGTTTATTCTAGACACATGCAGTACTCCAAAATGAAAGCTTGAAATTCATAAAATCTGTTGGGCTTTAGATGGTCGTTTGGTGGCGATAGCTCTTCGGAATATCAAGACCACATTTTTCGATTTTACTCTCTTTACAAAAGTACATTTCACAAATCGGAAGTTGTTGTTGTATTCATTTTCAAATTCAGAGTGGTCCTCAAATGTTGCAATGTAGTTTTAATTTGCAAGTCTTTTCCGGAAAAGTTCTATTGCTTACACTTAATATTTACTCGATGTAGCCTTCTTGACCCGCGACTATGGGCTCAGACGGTTCACATTTGCCGATGCAAATTTCATTCATTTTACGTGAGCTTTTTTGAAGGCATTTTTACACAGTGCAGGTAGAATAGTCTAGCACGATAAGGTATGGTAGCATAGTCGTCTCTCGCAACTCGCCGAACTTGGATATTGCGCTTTGTTAGTGTGAGCACAGAACAATCAGTTCACCTTTTCTCGGGAGCGACCATGGGGCAATGCTAACAGTCGACTTTCGTTAAATAGTTATCGGTATCGCATTTCGTTTTTTTTTNTTTTTTTTTCGAGAAACTATAGTGAGCTGAAGAGAAGCGTGACGAATCTTGGCGAGACGTTCGCAAGAGTTGGTACTATCGAAAATATTCCCCCTGTCACAGCATCTTCATAGGTTTCAACTTACTCCAATGGCCGAGCAAGCACCGTATATCAATGGTTTCAGCTTCATGGAAATTTGATGGAAATTTCCTCGTTCATGGATATAGTTTTAAGTGCTCAATTCGACACTCTACTGTACTACTTTCTCCGTTCCTCTTTTGCGTACTTTTGTGCCGTGTTGAATCGGCTGCTTTCATAGTCCGCCGGCGTCCCGGCGTGCCGGCTGAGGTAGTGCTGGGGAGGGGAGGGGAGGCGGACGGTCAGTTGTCGCGGTCGCGTCGCCCTCAAACCCCTTCGAAGGGCTGAAAACAAAAAAACAATATCAAAAACCATTTGCATTCGCCCTCCGAAGGCTTCCGGACATGACGCCGTCTTTTACCGGAACGGCAACCTTCCGGTTGCAGGTGATTATTGACAGAGACGGCACGCATAATTTTGTGCAATATCTGTCAGACATTCTGTGTTATTTACGTCTTTTTCATCATAGAGTAAAATCCGGGCCTTAAAACTGATATCACTATTATACGCTATTGCATGAGATTCGGTATAAATATTCTAGAACAAAAACAAGTTCGATTTCGGCATAAAACAGAACGGTGTTGCATTGGACGATGTGGTTCTTCCTCCCTGGGCTCACGGTGATGCGAGAGAGTTTGTTCGGTGTGTTTGTTCTCAGTTTCTCTTATTCGTTGTGAGTAACGTTTTTTAATTGTTGTCTAGATAGGTATAATTCTTGAAGATTGATATGCCAGCCCAAACACTGACGATTTTGTGTTTATGCGTTAATTAGCTCAAAATTTTCGAACGGTTGCTCTATAGATTACATCGGCAAGCTCTCGAGTGCGATTACGTGTCCTCTCACCTTCATGAATGGATCGATTTGGTCTTTGGATACAAACAAAATGGCGAGGAAGCTGTTAAGGTTGTCTTAACAGTCTTTGACTTTAATTACCTAAAATTATTACGGAAATCAGGCCAACAATCTCTTCCATCATCTGTTCTACGAGGGTAGTGTAGATTTCGAATCTATCGTGGATCCATTGACGAGAAACGCTACAATAGGTAAGTCAATCTGTCTATACAGCTTCCCATTCAGTTGTTCGAATACAGCGATTCTTCTCAAANTTTTTTTTAGAAATGATCTGCTCGAGTACCTCTACAAAAATGTACTTAGAAAACAATCCGCACAATCATGAAATTAGGCTCTACTATTTCGAGAAAGGTTGGAAGGTGGTAGAGTCATTCCGCGATCTTAGTAACTTTTCGGCGATGGAACAACCAGCCAAAGCCAACCAAGAAATGGAATCTGCTAATAAATCTGCCATAATCATAAGCAGAAACTTTTGTGGAATATCTCGTCAACTGTTCGCCGAAAAAAGTGGCTAGGGAATATAAGTTACGTCGATCTGGATGACCTGATGGGCCATGTCAAGGCGTGGTTCACCCCCAAGGATAAAAACTCCTTCGCTTTTGGAATCCGACTATCTAGCCAATGGGAAACAGTGCTTGATGTAGATGGTGGATGAGTTCCGGAGTGATCCGGGACTCATCCACCATCTGTAGCACTGTTTCACCATTATCCGGAGTAAAATCCGCAATAATTATACATCAACCTAATACATTGATAGGTCATGGTCACCGAAACCTAAGCCGTGTATAAAGTATTATTAACAATCTCGAAGGCTGATACAACCATTGAGGAATTTTTTTCAATATGCCGAGATTAATTGAAAGTCGGACATGGGATGTTACCTTCAAGTTTGTACGCCGACTTGATGTTGACGCCGTTTGACCTTTTGGAGGTTGTACGTACCCAGAAAAAGGTGATTCAAAAAATTTGTTCAGGCCAAAAAATGGAATTAAATCGTGAACATTTTCGAGCGATTATTTTTTACAACTTTCGACGTGGATTAATTCAACAACTGTGCATGGATGAACTTAATTAAATTTTTGGCGATAAAGGACCCGTGTTTGTCGATGGTGTGGTGTATTCATACGTGGTCGTAATTCATTTCAGGACGAATTTCGCGGAGGTCGTCCAAAATCAGTTGTTGCTGCGGAAACCCGTCATATGACTCGTCATGTGACCTGTCGTGAGATTGAGACAGCCTTAGGCATTAGTGGGACTAGCATGCATTCAATATTGCATGAACATTTGACTGTAAAAAAATTTGTTGACGTTGGAATCCTTCACCACGACAGTGCGAACTGTCACACATCGGCTCAAGCAACTGCATTTTTGAGCGCTCAAAACGTCGATTTGATGTGTCATCCGCCATATAATCCTGACTTGGCACCGAATGACTTCTTCTTATTCCCGCACGTAAAAAATAAAATGAGAGGTCAACTTTTTTCGACACCTGAGGAGCGGTTGATGCTCAGAATGCATTGTTTGGAGATACCTCAATCAGAGTGGCAAAAGTGCTTCCACAATTGGTTCAAACGCATACAAAAGTGTGTAAATCTAATAAGGAATATTTTGAAAAACAATAAAGCAATTTTCAATGATTAATATTTATTTTTCTTCTCTAACACCGAAATATAAAAGGCAACCTACGTAGTAATAGGGATAAGCAGAGATCTGATGCACTCAGATGTAGATGGGAAAGTCCGTCAATGTGCCCGTTGCCATTTGCACTCGGTTCTTTGGACTAGAGAAGATGATGCGTACCCTCACGATATGCTCTTCGGGAACACCACGCCGTCGTAAGGTGTACCGTATAACGTCACGCGGAACGCGATCGAAAGCCTTCTCCAAGTCTAGAACGGCGAGATGTACCGGCCTTTGTTCCTCGCTATGCTTTTCTAGTAAAATTCGGTGGGCGCATATGGCATCGATGGTGCTGCAACCACTTTGGTTGGTGGTCAGCTCGACCACGTCATGGATACGACTATCTACGATTCGCCCAAAAATTTCATGCTGTGCGAGAGCAAGCGATTGGACAGTAGCAAGTGCAGTCCACAGAACTGCCCTCCTTCCTTCCTGCTCCTTTCTTTCCCCTGTGCTCTGTTGCCAGCTCTCAGGCACCTTCTCTGCACGACCTGGTTGAAGAACACCGTCAACATCTTGCAGGATTCCAGCCTTTTGAATTCCATAAGCCCGCAGCTAAGTCGTCAGGACCAGTTGCTTTGCCCGATTTCATTCCCTTCATAGCCGCAAAGGTCTCCTTTCTGGTTAACTTCTGAACGTGGCCGTGTAGTGGCAGAACGCCAAGGATGGCGGGATGAGCAAAGTCGACTGTTGAGATGCTTTCGAAGTACTCTCACCATCGTTTCAATGTTTCTTGCGGTCCGTCAAGCAATGATCGTTCTCGTTATTATGCCGAAGAACTTTCTACATCTGCGGTCTGACGATTGCGGGTTTTTGCGAGTTGGTAGACGTACTGCACACCATCGCTAGACTCGAGAGTCTTGTTAAGATCGGCATAATAAGCTGCCTTCGCAGAAGCAACGGCCTTCTTCGCTCTTTCTTCGCTATCTGATAGCGCTGCCAGCTATCAGCTGTCTTTTCGAGAAGAAATGCGTGGTACAGCTTTTTCTTCTCACGTACTTCATCCCAACGTGGTCCGTCCACAGCCATGCTTGCTTGTCAACCTTTCGCCGTCCAGGCTTGGTCACGTCGAACTCTGACCGACCAACCCTAGTTATTGCTTCGGCAGCTCCCTTCCAAGTTTTCCCCACAGTCGTTACCGTTGGTAATAGAATGCGGGAGACGGCTTCTTCCTCCTTCAGTCACCACCATTTGATTCTCGCGCTTGGAAAGAAATTACAACGCTTGAAGATGTGTCAAAAGCTTGTATACCTATATACATTTATCAAACGATGTATTCTGTACTCAGATATCCTCATTTAGGTTTTGTTAACAATTTCGGACAGATACCCACGCAGTTGTTCAAGAAGCCTCATCCCCAGAAGAAGGTAATTTATTATTTTATAAAGAAGCTGGTCATGAAAAATGTGATCTGCAGGCACCTTCGAGTGAGGGGTTTTTCGTGTCATTCTAAATGCTCTCAGTACTTGTTTGAATTCCGTTAAATTTGCAATCAGTTTCGTTTTTATGAGAAAAGCGAGCAAGTCCGGAAATATTGCATCCGATTTCGTAATTTGAGGCAAGATATGTGTAAAGTCATTCATTCGTGGAAATCACTACTCAGGTCGTTAATAAGTAAATCTTCTACATCGACAAGGTTGGTTTTAGCGTAGTTATGCTCGCGGGAGTTTGTTCGCCACGAAGGACGCCAGCAGTGCAAGCAGCGCCAGATCTTCGAACGAGAAAATTTCGTCTCTCTTTTGCCAACTCCTCGATGGCTCCATGTGAGAACAAGGTCGCTGCGTGTCGTTGTTGGTGATGAAACTGTTGAAATTTTCGATGAAGCGAATAGAATAAAATAACAAATAAACTAAAAACATACATTCAGTCTCACGAAACTGACTGCAACATTTGCGAAATTTATTAAGAGCTTTCATGGGGCTCTCAAATACGAAAGTGACTGCAAAAATCACAAAATAGAGTGGGAAAAGCACGAAATCGGTTGCAATATGGACGTTTTAATGAGAAAACTACGGAATTAGTTGCAATATTATTGAAAGCTGCTTCAATGTTTCAAGTTGGGATGGGAAATCCTGAAGAAAAACGTTTAGAATATGGAGAAAAAGTGGTTGGGGGAACTGAAGGAGAAGTTATCGCATTTTTGTAGTGGGCGAGGCATGGACCGGCCAAGACTCACATCAGAGATTCACAACTGTTCAAAAACATGTTAGAAGGGAAGGTAGATCCTAAATTCTCAAATCTGTTCTGAAAAGTTCTGGACTAACCAATATCACTTTTAAAGCGCCTATGTGACAGACATTCTGTATCACCTAGAGAATACCTGGGAGAGGTCAACAAATGAAACTAAGGGCACACTCGCGAAGTGCGAAGCGACCGAACGATGAGCATGAGCTTATTAAATGATTATTGATTCGGTCGAAGACTATAGGCCAAATCTCTCAGGGACAGAAACAGATGCAAATTTCATGAATGAATTTGAGTTGAACTGATGAATTTATCAAAACTGCATTCATTTTCATGACGCACTTGATAACGTGCATAGGTTGAATGGTGAAATAAGGGAGAGAAGCTCTTTATTCTTGCAGGTCAGTCCAGCAGATGGATTTTCGAACACTCCTGGTGTAACAACTCAACGCCTCTTCTATCATTGCCTGCATTCTTTGAAACCTCCACAAAGCCCCATCAAAGGTTAACCAATTAGTAGTTGGCTTTGTTTTTAGCATTTTTGAATGTCTTCAATTTAGAGCTACGGGCTGCCATAGGATCAATTTACCCGAATGAGCGATCCGGTCTGATAGCCTTAGAGCAGAATAAAGTGTTGATTGGCAGCAATCGATACGTCGCATGGGGTTATCCGGATCGCTCGATTCGTATAGGACAGATTGATTCTGACAAGGTGAGTGTCACACAGAACTGAAGTGCAGATGCAAATGTGCTGTATAGATTTTTCTACTACCTTCTGCATTTACATCAGTCCCAATTACGCTTAGGCGCCACAATGCTGAGAAACTCTGCTCATAAGCAGCGAAATAGTTTAGACGGTTGATATATCCTTTCTTTTTTATCCTTCCGTTACGTCATTATAACCAGCTAGTCAGTGACGAATCGCGTAAACGCTTACCCTTTTCTCTTCAGCACTGCGCACAGCCAAGCGCTATATGTATGTAAAGCCCGAAATTCAATAACATCATCGAGTGTTTCTTCATTTGTGAAACATTTTATAGCATGGGTCGTCGGGAAGTTTTCACCCTTTTTACTACATTGCTTTAATTAAAAACATCTATGGGAGTATGTCGGTGTGTGTCGTTGTCGGTGTATGTCGATGTGCGTGTCGGTGTACGTATGACCGGAAACATATTACACTTCCTCTTGGACCTGGAATTTTAAGATTCGGGAGAGACGCAAGCCGGCACGTCGAGATAATTGATGATAGGTGGCGGAATTGCATAAGCTGTTAAAAAGTACAATGTAGAAGGTACTCGCCAGAGGATCCTCTGTTAGGGATAGACAGGTTCTAGGTTAGTATACAAGAGAAGGCGAAAATCGAAAAATTGGTTCGTTTCGCCTCTTAATCATACGAACCAATGTAAGTCATCACCCGATGCTCTTCAGTGATTAGGTATGACTATTAAAATAGTGTTGATACAGATGTCACAACATAACAAAATGGATATATGGGTCAATAACTAATATGTGAATACTAATAGGTATGTAAAATATGATGGAGAGAAAATCAAGAACACTGAACATATAGGTCGACATTTAGTTTGAATAAGATATCTTCCCGCCAGAAACTGTTAGAGGGTTACCAATAGAAGTGTGTCAAAGGTAAGATGGAAACAGGTTGGTGGGTTGCAGGGTCGATAGGATCTGAGAAGGAGCCTCAGAAGGCAACAGACAAGTATTATGTTCGGTTCTTGAGCACATATTGTGGGTCTATTATAATGTACAAACTTGTGATAAAAAACAGCAAGAAAAGTGAATCTGGTCAATATGTATTCCCCATCAGTATTCGCAATCTCGTGGCATCCCTCAACTATTAGGTTGGAGGATCAGTCTTGCAACTTTTTGGAAAGTTTTTGGATTTTATATTTCTTTATTAAACAAAACCTTCAATCCACACTATAATTACCGTTAATGTCTATCCTTCAGGGACACTACAGCAGACGCAAAAACATCTAAAAAAGGCCTTGTTTCTTCGGAAATTTTTTAAAGTGTTGCAGGACTTATCTTCCGACCTATTATATCTTCATTCTGTTTCGTGAAAAAATCTCCAACCATAATAAAAGGAATTGTGAAATCAGTTCTTATGATTCTTATTGCACTCAAAGAGGAAGTCGGAAATGGATGTTAAGGAAAACGAAATAGGTGTTGGTTGAGGCAAGTCAAACCTCTCCGTTTTAAGCTCCTAGCGGCTAGTTTGACAACGCTTGCAAGACGGTGGACTAAGATTGCGTGGCCTTATCGCTCAGTCGTAGAGCTTCAATTTCTCTGTGCTCAGCTAGGCTCCTTACTGAATGCAGCCTACAGTCCTGTTCTTATCTTAAGATCACTCATAATTCGTCTTCACAACTTATACTCATCGTGTCACGTTTAATGCTTTTATAGCGAATCCTTTTACTTGAATAGTCTGAACAACCAACCATCAACAGACTATATTCATAATTGATGTTAACAGATGTGGATGTTGTTGACTCTAGCGGTCACATAATGCTGAGCATCTTTATGATTTGAAAGTGATTATAGTCGTCCTGTATCCATGAGATGTGCGATGCGGATGAGCTAACGTGCGTAGCAAGCGGTGACGATCGCACCCTATTTTGTGGCAGCAGCACTGGATGTGTAAGGTTCGTCTCAACCTTTCTCGACACAATTGAGAATTCTTGCTTTTCTTTTAACCGAGACACATCATTAAGTAACTTTTGTTTTTAGCGTCTGGACTTTATGTCGGAAGCCGATCTCACTGAAAAGAAGGAAGCTGCTAGATGGACATTCGGATGCAGTCACTTGTCTGGTATGTCATTCAAATTGAATTCTGCGTACAATACGAGATTCGGTGAAAAGGAACATCGATTCTTCGAGTGCATGACTTTTGTGTGTGTGTGTCGCAGATATTCAATGGAGAGCTTCAAGGAAACGTTTTCAACACTGCTGGGTGATTCTATTTTGTATTATTCTTCCTCTGCAATTTTTGACTTCTTCATTTTTACGAATGCTTTTTTCTGATAAACTTTCGGTCTTTGAGTGGGCTAGTAGCCGAAATTCGTAAGGTATCAGCTAGCAGAGTTGGAAGCGCTCCCATTCGGATGCTAGTTCTGTTAAAGCTGCAATGATTGTGTTATGCTCATGTAAGCACTCTACTCACTATACCAGTCGGGTAATCCTCCTCCTGTGACATATTAGAAAAGCTGGGCGCGGCCGCGTTCCCACTTTTCAGGTCAATTGAAACAGCAATCTCACAAAGTCTGGAACAGGTCCATGTAATCATGTGTGATATCTCATTTCCACTAAGCGACCCTTGTGAATTCGCTCCAAACACAATCCACTTCTGCTGTTTAAAGCTAAGTTCTCAGGTTGTTTGCTCCGCCCATGCTTTCGTTGTCTCGGCGAGCCGAGATTGCTCAGTGATCCTTTGGCATCAGTCTGAGCTTTATCTCATCCGTCAGCTTCCGTTACATCCAAGTCCCGTGTCGGCTGTAGCTGTAAACGACACGACGGTAAGTTTAAGGATGACTGGTTACAGTGAATATTGATATTTGTTCTATTCTTTTCAGGGCGATATAGCAACATCCTGTCTGACATTATTGCATTTGTGGTCAATTAATGGCGATCTGTTAGCTGTAGTTAATACATGTGATTCGAACCTAATCATGGATCCCTCGCAAATGATTCTCAGCCTTACTTTTAGCACGGTACGTCAAGCTTAACACTATTCGTTATTCTTTCTGTTGAGATTGAAATAAGTTCCCCTCTACAGATGAATGAGTGGGACTCGGACAACGTAATCGTTTGTGGGACAAGCGACGGTGTTGTGAAAATCTATTCTTGTGTGATGGTGGAGAACGATGGATCAGTTGAAGCGCCTCGAATCGAGCCGCAAGTGTATGTTTCATAATTTGTAGCATCTTGCACACTTGTTTTTCATATGTCGGAAAGAACTGTGTATTAAGGGCTACTGCCATTTACATTTCATTCTCGTTCGAGACAAAAACTGCTAACTATTAGCCAATCGATTGGAAGGGTCAAGCAATAACATTCCTGATCAATACAAAAGCATATACGAATACACACATGCACGCACACATAAAGTTATCCATAAACGATGCACCTAAACATTGCATTGCACATTCGCAGTTTCATGCACACCCATGCAAAAACGCACTCATGCATATACACAATACATAAAGTCCTGTTATATACGAGGGTTGCCTTTTATATTTCGGGATTTGGAAACACTAGTGTAGCAATCTAGCAACTGACACCACTATCGTAAAGTTTGACTATTTTGAGGTTCCGTTGCAAAATTTGAGCGCGATTTGTGTTGTTTACACTAAGTTATAAGATTTTGTTTCGGCCAAGTTATGGAGTTGAACCGTGGGCATTTTCGCGCGACAACTTTCGACGTGGACTAACTCAACAGCAATTCATGGATGAACTTGGTTCAATTTTTGGGGATGAAGCTCCATCCAGGATTACTGTCTATCGATGGTAGAGTGGGTTCACCCGAGGTC